ATCAATCTTTCCTTCACATTTGTGACTTCCTATACCTTTTCACATGTATCGAAGTCGCTTTCTTGATATGTCTTCTGATGATCTCTATGTTTCTTCATATTTCGCTTTATTTTGATTTTTGTAAGATCTTAGAGTGACAACTATAAATTTTTAGTAATCGTTTTTCTATTTGTTCGTTGTAATTGTTGTTTTGAAAGTGCAAAATGTTGCCAAATGTTTTTGACTTTGTCAGATGTCTTTGAGTATCTTCTTTATTTCTACCCGTATTTCTGGTTGTTTAAGTTTTTTGAGTTTTGTCTTCTTTTTGTGTTTGAGCCTACAACAGGATTATGGTCGGATGCCATATCAGCTCCGGGATATGTTTCAACTCCCTTAATTCCATTTCTACAACGCTTGTCAATTAGTAATCAATCTGATTTCTAATCAAGTTGATTTGATTATCTTTGGGCGCTTTCTATGTATATATTCTTCTCATTGGCAGTTGAATTCCAGTATTTGCAACCTTTTTTTTTACAGGGCATTGTGTTAAGGGTACAATTTGCTACAACTTTTGTTGTAAAAGCTTTTTTGTATCATGCTCCGAGATTTTTTTTAACATTTTTCTAATTTTCATATTTTTGAAAAATTGATGCATCTGGCTATTTTCAATAATAAGCCTGATTGTTAACTCCTTTTCTATGATCGATACCTGGCATCTGATCGTGTAGGTCTAGGTGACACCTTTGGAGTCAGCTTTAAGTCGTTATTATCAATTGGAAAGAAAAAATTTTAAAACATCATATCTCAAGAACGAATTGAGATATCATGATGAAATAACGAGCATTTTAAAGCTAAATTAATCACGATTTAATATGCCATAAATAATTTCTTGGTTTTCCATGCATTTAATAAAATTTGTGATTTCAACATGAACCAATACCTAGTTATCTCACCCACAATGCCTTTTTTTAACTTTTGGCTATTTTCAGTAATAAGCCTGATTGTTAGCTCCCCTTCTATGATTAATACCTGGCATCTGATCGCAGTTTCATCTTTTCCAGTGGTAGTTAGGTAGTCTAGGTCTAACTATTTTTCAGAATTAGCTTATTTTTTTCACAAAATTCACTCTGATTTCTGACATTTCGACCCAATTCGAATAGCACGTTACTGCTCATAGTTTGTTGTACCAGCTTGACGGTGGTTTCAGTTTCTTCCGATTTTCCTTCTGCAGGTTTAACAAGAAGGGCAGAATTTTTTCCTCAACGGCTTTGGTTTCTTCAGTCTTCCTTCTGTCTTGTCGCTCTTCACTTGGTATTCTTCCAGCTATGGAGTTGCGATTTTGCACCTTTCGTTGTTATCAATTGGAATGAAGAAATTTTAAAACATCATATCTCAAGAACGAATTGAGATATCATGATGAAATAATAAGCATTTTAAAGCAAATTTAATCAAGATTTAATGTGCCAAAAATAATTTCTTAATTTCTAAAGCATCGAATTTTAAATTATTCACGCCATAAATATTGCGATTTTCCTTCTGCAGGTTTAATAAGAAGGGCAGAATTTTTTCCTCAATGGGTTTGGTTTCTTCAGTCTTCCTTCTGTCTTGTCGCTCTTCACTTGGTATTCTTCCAGCTGTGGAGTTGCGATTTTGCACCTTTCGTTGTTATCAATTGGAATGAAGAAATTTTAAAACATCATATCTCAAGAACAAAATGAGATACCACGATGAAATAACAAGCATTTTAAAGCAAATTTGATTCAGTTTTGATATTTCAAATATCATTTCATATTTCCCATAAACCTTGGCGTTATCGAATTTTAAATTCCGTTCTCGATAAAAATTGCAGAAAATTAATTATAAAAACTTTTAAGCATTGTATCTCAAGAACCAAATGAGATATTATGATGAAATTACGATCATTTTAAAGCAAATTTAATATAGTTTTGATATGTTAAGTATAATTTCTTACTT